TGTTGCCTGCTGGAAAAACCTGTGTTCTTTTTTTCCCTGTCTCATATCAACATGAACTGCCTTTAATTCCTCAGGTCTGCATGACCCTAGAAACATCTCTGCATCTTACCTAACATTGTCAAGAAATTATTTTCTGAGCTTCTTAATATTCCTTTCAGTTGTAGGACCAAGAGCTCTCTTTTCATGTTTTAAGAACAATTCAGAGATACAGAAGTTCATCCTGTCTCTTGCCATGCTGACCATGAGCCCTTACCAAATACTCTTTTCAGTTTTTTAGCCCTGCACTGAATTAGGCATAAAACTATGAGGAAGTTCTCAAGTAGAATCTAATTACTAGTAAGTAAAAGTTGACCATAATTTTGGACCTGCAGAAACATTGAAAAATGCGCACCTGATATTTTTTAAATTTTTGGGACTAATTATTTTTGTAATCTTGCATTATTCTGTAATAGGATTTTGCTTTTCAAAGGGAAAGGGCTTAGCTTTTAGAGAGAAGAATGTGTGAGAAGCCCTGACTGGATAGGGCAACCTTTTAGATTGGATAGGGCAACCTTTTAGATACACTTTCAATATATTTCAGTATATTTTCAGTAATAAAAGTGACTTTGTAACCATAAGGAAAGCAGATAATCAGGATCCATTGTGCAGTGTGAAAGAAAATATTCATTCACATGTGAAAATAACTTTGAGCTATTCAGCTGTATAAAAAGAATGTATTGTCATATTTGTTTACCATGTCACCTTAAGGCTAGACTTAGAAAAAGGCAGAGAAGTTCTGGTCTAACAGAATCTCTGCTGCTTTTGGACTTCCAGCCTGACACTGTTTTGTTTAAGAGACTGGTAATGCAGGAGCTATCCTGCCACTCCCTTTCTCCTCCACTCCCTACCTTTTTGACTGTCACCTGGTTTGAGCATGTGTGAGTCCTATCCTTTATAGAGGAAAGAAGTGTAGAACAGTGTAAAATGCAGAGTCACCGAGGTTGGAAGGCACCTCTGGAGATTGCCCATGACAATCCTCCAGCATGAGGAAAAGGTCAACTGAGGCAAGTTGCCCCAGCCATCTCTAGCTGAATCTGGGATATCGTCAAGGATGGAGATTCCACATCATCTCTGGGCAACCTCTGACAGCATTTGATCACCCCTATAATAACAAAGCGGGGGTTTGTTGCACCTACAGGGAATTTCCTGTGTTTCGGATTGTTCTCATTGCTTCTCATCCTGTTACAGGACACTGCATAGAAGATTTTGGATTTATCATCTTTACATCCTTCTATCAACTATTTTTACAAATGCACAAGATCTTTCTGAGCTTCATCTTCACCATGCTATAGAAGACCCAGCTCCTTCAGCCTCACCTTCTGTGAAAGATAGTCCAGTCTTTTGAGGTTTCTGTGGTCCTGCAGTGGACTGTCTCTAGTATTTCCACGTCTCTTATACTTGAGTGCCCAGATCTGCACCCAGAACTATAGAAGTATCTTACCAGTTCTTGAAAAAAGGAGGGACTATTTTCTTGACCTGCTAGCAAAGTTTTTTCCTAGTGCAGCCCAGGAAATTGCTGCCTGTCTTTGCCATAAAGATGCATTGCATTGCTCATTTTCAGCTTGTCCTCTAGGACTAAGATTCTTCTCACAAAGCTACTTACCAGCTCACTAGCTGCCCCCAGCAGATACTGTGCCTGCAGTTATTTCTGTTCAGGGACAGGACTTTAAATTTCCCTTTGCTGCATTTCATGAGGTTTCTGTTTACCCTTTACTCCAGCTTGTAAAGTTCCTCTGGATGGCAGCACATATCAGGTATGTTAATTGTTTCTTGTAGTTTTCCATCACCTAAAAACTCTCTGAGAGCTCATTCAGAGAGTTGATCATCATTCTTTAATGATGATTTTAAGCATGCTGGTCCCTGTATCAATGCCTGGAGTACACTGTGGGCAGCTGGCCTTCAGCTGCTTTTGTGACACCACAGCTCTCTGAGCCTGTCAGTTCTGTCAGTTTTCAGTCCACTTTGTTTGCCACTTACTTAGTCTGTACTTCATCAGTTTATCTGGGAAGGTGTGATGTGAGACAGTGTGAATTGCTTAAAGTTAAGATAAAGCAACCTTTCTCATTCTCCTGTTTCTCCATGTATCAGACTGCTTATTTCATCATAGACGGCTATAAGATTGTTCAAGAATGATTCACCTTCATAAATCTGTGCTGACTGCTCCAAATAACCTTCTTGTCCTTTATATATTTGAATTGTTTAGTCCATCGTCTTCCCAGGAGAAACTGTGAAGCTGATAATCATGTAGTTCTCCAGATCCTCCTTCTTCCTCTTGTAAATAGGATTGATAATAGCTTGCTTTCTTTCAGTGCTTAGGAGCACCCTCTCTTGTTGCTGTGATGACTGGGGTAGTGGCATTGTCCAGTTCCCTCCACACCACTTGGTGCACCCTGTCAGTTCCCATGGACTTGTGTATGTCTAAGTTGTTGAAATGTTCCCTGTCCTAATCATCCTCTACAGGCCGTAAGTTTTCTTGTGCTGCACTTTACTTCTGATGTCCTCACAACCTTCAGACTACCGAATTTCCACAAGGCAGTAAACCAGCTCATTCCAGCGCTAGGAAAATTTTGTCTGGGGTGCTTCACTGGGCATGGTATGAGGGCTGTCTGCATATCTCGCCATGAAACTAGGAATATGTGTGCTGCTTCTCCATAGTGTAAGAGCCTTAAAAACCATAATTTGTCTTAAACACTGTAAAGACCACTGAAGAGCTTTGCCCACTATGGCGAACTGCATTAAGAATCTGTGACCACCAGAACTCAACACTGCCCAAATATGCCTTCTAGTTTCTGGGAACCTGATACAAGATAAAGGCAGTACTATTGTCCAGTTGTGTCAGGTTTAAGAAGAAGTAAACACAACTGGAGAAAAAGAATGTATCCACAAGGAAAGCCAGCTCAGCAGCTGTGCTGAAAGTCATCTCTGGCTGGGCCTGGCAGGAGGAGACTGTAGCCCACTGACCCATTTGCTGAGACCAGGTTTGCACACTAGAATTTGGGGATTTTTTTAAGTCCTCCACTATGAGGGAAATGCAACTGTACTGGATTTGCCTCTGGGACAGAAAATCAAATTTTTTGTTGCTGTTGTTTGTAGGTGGAAAAAAGGTACTTAGGAAAGCAGTGGAAAATCATCTTGGAGGTGTGCCTAGGAGATTTGCATATTAAGAAAAAGTATTTTATAGGATCTCAATTTTTACAAAAATTCTTCCCAGTGGCATCCTTTATATGACTTACTGTGCTCTCTGTTTCCCTGAAGAAAATCAGTATTTTCACCACAGGTGAGAAATCTGGCACTGAGTTGACCACCCAGAGATTGCAAGGAGTCTGCACTGGCAAAGGGACCACCCAAATACTGACATTCCACTGTGCTCAAATGAGCAGTAAGAAATGTCTGTGGCATGCACTCAGAAATCCATGCTGGGAATATGAATCTTTCTGGAGAAAGAGAAGGAGGAGAGCTTGTAGTTTGTAGAAGACATCTGATAAAAATATGTGACTATTGACAAACATACGGAATGCAATGTATTTTAATCCTGTACACATGAATGAATGAATGAATGAATGAATGAATGAATGAATGAATGAATGAATGAATGAATGAAATGGAAGCCAGGACAGCACACAAAGATTGTACACTCAAGAGCTGCCAGTTCCTCTGTTTCTAAAAGCACAATGAGAATATGACAGAATGAGTTATTTGCAGAAGAATCATAAGGGAAAGCAGAGACTGCTGCTGTGGTAGCACTGGCACAGACCAAAAGGGCCTCCTTCCTGCTAAAAGTGCTGCTCACTGGTTTAGTGTTCAGTTCATTTGATTCATTCAAGAATTCACTTTTCTCTGTTCAAACCCCATACCTCTTCTTTACGTGTTTCCACCTCTAGTTATTCTGATGTGGATTGTCTTCCCATGGAATTTATTGTGTTCAGCTGTGTGTGCAAGAGAGGACTGAGACTTAAAATTTTAAGCCAGACCGCTGTGGATGGATGAGCATAATGAAATTTGTCACCAAAATTTTATCCTGGCTGCTAAGGAGTAGTAGGTGTCTTCTAAGCTTCTATGTAAATTTAGACATTTCATTTACTCCCAGCAACATGAGACTACTTAATAGCATAGTTCATCTTTGTCTCTATATCCTTTGTCTCTGTGTTATTATATTATCTTATGTTACTTTACAAGTTTACTGTAAGTTTACTTTATTCCTGCTGTTAAAGATTTTGAAATGCTCATGTCTGAAATATTTTAACTGAAAGATGAATTGGTCTTAAAACCCTTACTGAAAAAAAATGCTACCTGGGACTTAGAAGTAACTGATATGCAGGTCATGGACAACTATTTCCATGTATATTGGCATCCTACTAAGTGCAGTGACTGTTTTTGGTGTGTTTTTGGGGATTTGGGCTTTAAATATTTCCCACAGAAAAGTCTTGTGGTGTTTAGTGGGGAACACCAGTGCAGTGCCCAAGTGGTACAGAATTTCTGCAAGGTATTTATGGGAGAAATGTGTGGTATTTTTGCAGTTTTGATTATGACTTGTCCATATCACATATGCTATGACAAACAATATGGAGGTAAGTAATTTTTACAGATTTATGAAAGTTCACTTTATTTTTCCCTGCATTAAGAATATTCTTAAGATAGTTTATTCTATGAGGTGTTCTGAATTGTCCTGTCTTGAGGCATCATGGCTGCTTTTAGGTCTTCCTTTTCCTCAAGAACATATGCTGATGGCAATCAGCACAGAGCATATATATCTGTGTTTACAGCCTGTAACACCTGTATAAGTCTAAGTGTTTCTAGGCTGCAGCAGTGGTGGACTGTCTGGACTTAGAAGAGTTTTGAGTGTCTGGGAGTGCATTTGGGAATGTGCTTCCAGAGCTCTCTTCTGGATTTGCATCTCTGAATTTCTCTCCTGTTTGCTATCAAATACAGTTACATTTTTTTGTGCTCTGTTGGACTTACAGGCACATGCTCAAATGTTTGTGGTCTCATTGGATTTCCTCCTTCCTATAAGTCAAGATGAGAAGTTGAGTGTCTCTGAAAACTTACGTAACACAGGTGAGAAATAGGCATAGCTTTGTATTTGACTGGTCTGTTTTACAATGGGATCTGTCCTTAGTTGTCATGCAGTTAGCCAGTGTACTGTTTTGTCTCCAGCACTGACCTAAACAGAAGAATGGAAACCTTTACATTCACTGGTGAAAGACAGTTTGTTCCCTTGATCATTAATACTGAACAGATACCATGTACTCTGTGAGAATGCCTATGAAAGTCAGGCAGAATACCTTTTGGAATCTGATGAAAATGTAGATACTGGACTGCAACCCTGCATCTCTCAGCCAAATGTGAGTACAGTATGCAGGAGAACAAGTTGGAGTGTTTGGTTTTGGTTTGCAGAGCCTGTTTTTCTCTCCAGTATCAGCCTTCTTTGAGACATTAGATTAGGAATTAGCTAATGCACAGTGAAAGTGGTGTTGTAGTTAGGGCCTGGTGCTGTGGAAGAATTCGGGATGTAACAGAAAGTTAGCAGTCCCCCTCTCTACCAAGATAGTAAGTTCTCTTGCAATTAGCCAATAGCACCCAGGTGTGACGTATGTAGATGAGAGTAACACAGTGACCCCAGGCTATAAAATGCTATGTTTCCCTGCAATAAATCGCCATTTTCACCATCCATCACATTGATGAAGTGAGATATGGACTGCGCGGCTGGGATAGCCACCTGTGCTGAAGCGGGTCAGGGTGCTTATCTTGCTTTAAAACCAACAAAGTGGCCCTAGTTCTGTTTTTTCTGTAGTAATGTCAGCCCATTACTTTAAATATCTCTTTCCTCTCTCATTCCTGCTCCCCCCCCCCCCCCCCCCCC